GCTCTGCGTCTCCGGCACCGCCATCGCCTGCGAGAACGCGCTGGTGGTGGCCATCATCTGCTACTCGCCCGCCCTGCGCACCCCCATGTTCGTGCTGGTGGGCAGCCTGGCCACCGCCGACCTCCTGGCCGGCCTCGGCCTCATCCTCAACTTCGTTTTCCAGTACGTGATCCGCTCGGAGACGGTCAGCCTGCTGACGGTGGGCTTCCTCGTCGCCTCCTTCGCCGCCTCCGTGAGTAGCTTGCTGGCCATCACGGTCGATCGCTACCTCTCCCTCTACAACGCCCTCACCTACTACTCGGAGAGGACGGTGCTCTGCATCCACACCATGCTGGCGGGGGCCTGGGGGGTCTCCCTCTGCCTGGGGCTGCTGCCCGTCCTGGGCTGGAACTGCCTCCACGACCGCGCCGCCTGCAGCGTCGTCAGACCCTTGACCAAGAGCAACGTGACGCTGCTGTCCGCCTCTTTCTTCCTCATTTTCCTCATCATGCTCCATCTCTACATCGAGATCTGCAAGATCGTTTGCAGGCATGCCCACCAGATAGCTCTCCAGCAGCACTTTCTGACTGCTTCCCACTATGTCGCCACCAAGAAAGGAGTCTCCACCCTCGCTATCATCCTCGGGACTTTCGGGGCCAGCTGGCTGCCTTTTGCCATCTACTGTGTAGTGGGGGACCCAGACTACCCTTCCGTGTACACCTACGCCACGCTTCTACCCGCTACCTACAACTCCATGATCAACCCCATCATTTACGCCTACAGAAACCAGGAAATCCAGCGGTCCATGTGGGTGCTCTTCTGCGGCTGCTTTCAGGCTAAAGTGTCCTTTCGCTCCCGGTCCCCCAGCGATGTCTGAGTGACTTTTCTCTCTGTCGTACCCCACCGAGTGACAATCTACCCAGTGAACTATTACAGTGCCTGTTCGAAACTTCAAACCACGTCGTGAAGTCGTTGGAAACATGCTTAAGTATTAGCACTTTATACATGTTTGTATCTCTGAGAGTGGTTCGGGGTACAGAGTTTTGGGTTCTGTGAAAAAAAAAAAAAAAAGTGGTTGTATATAAATTTGCACATCACATTTGTAAAGTGAAGACATTCCGATACCGCTTAATTATAGCACCTTATTTCTAGCTGCTGACCTGCCAAAACAGTGTTGCCTTTCTGAAGGGCAGAGAGAAAGAAAGTTGTGCCTGTGTTGTATTTGTGTGTGTGTGTGTGTGTGTGTGTGTGTGTGTTGGGGGGGTGTGTATGTATGTATGTTTGTGTGTATCTATACTTTGCTGCACAATATTGATAAATTATAACATTTTGTATACAAATAAAAACATGTAAGATGTAATTTAACTTTGTGTGTTTAGATGCTTTCAGAAATAAGAGAGCTGGCAAATTTGCCAGTTGAGCAAAGTCCCTTTGTTTACTTTTGAAAGCTTGCCGTGTAATTCTGCCTAAAGAGATCATCATTCACTATGGAGATGAAATACTGCACCAAGAAAAGCACCTTCCTGCTTGCTTGCCTGTTTGTTCTCTTCTTTAGTCTGGCAAAGAGAGAGTAATGAAGAGCACAAACTCCTTGTTATTCTCCAGCAGCCAAAGAAACAAAAAGCCCAGTCAAATAGGCTGCTAATTACAGTTATACACCAGGTTTCTGGTAGCTTTCATCTTTAAGTTATAAGTTAGCCTTTTATGATAATGCTCCATTAAAAAGTTATCCAACTGTGGGGAAAAATTGGACTCTAAGCTGGGCTCCTTTTTTCCTCTTTTAGTCTAACACTGGAGGGGAAAAAAGGAAAAAAGCAAAAAACTCACAGTCTTCTTTCCTAAAAGCCTGTAAAATGCCACAATAAATTGACTTTCCTTGTCATCCACAGTTCTGAGGGGAACCTGAATTGTTTCTCCGCTCCTTTTCTTGGACTTCGTGCTGTAGAAAAATCATTTAAGTGCATCTTTGCTGTCTGCCTGCCTCAGAGCAGTATACAGTTTTCTCATAATCCTACGGCTTAGTGGCTTCAAAAAGCCCATCAGGGGTCAATGTCGTTCAGAGTTCGGAAACACTTCTTCACTCAAGTTCAAATTCACTGGCAACTGATTTATTTAGAGCGATAGCATGTGCGGCAGATTTCAGAAGCAGCGTTGCTGCTTATTTATTTATAGTTACGCTACATTTACATCCTGGTTATGTTATAGTTTATCACTATCATTTCAATTTGTATTTAAGGGCTGAAACAGATTACTTTTATGTGCCTAGTACCATATAAAAAGTTTGGACTAATGTGTTTCCCAGCTTACGACAGGGCAATGCATCAAGCATTTGCCTGCTGGAGCAGCTGGGGCCACAAGGATGCAACGAGCCTCAGCGAGGCTGTGAATCAGTAATGCTGCATTGATGAGTGCAAGTACTAGGAAAACCAGTAGCATTTCACTGATAATACAAAGATATTTCATTTTTTTAAAAAAAAACTGTATTACAGACTCTGCTAGCCCCATTATTTTTATCAATTCTAATCATCACAAATGTGACATTGTAATTGATGAATACCTTCAGGCACCGCGGTTCATCAGGGCACTGTTGCACTGATGTTATAAATATGATTTAAACTAGATCTTAATGATAGAGCAAAACTCTGCTCGGACTATGAACTCTAAAGTTGCTAGTGAGAAAGATCTTTTTTTTCCCTCTTTTAAGCCCTCATCATCATACGCTACGTCTAAGCTAGTAAATAACAGCGGGCAAGGGCTGCCCTCTAGCCCTACGGCCGGGTGGCACAGAGAGTCCCTAAGCTCTTTTCCCCCTGCAAAGCCAGGGAACAAACTGCTGGCTGGAGCATCCTGGCCCTGCTCTAGTAACCTGCATCGACTCAGCCGAAGATGCTGCATCACCCACAGTAGTAACTGTTGAGAGCAAAGACCAGCGAGTGCCTCGGGCTGGTGAAATCTGGCAAAACTCCCTGGTAAAACTGGAAAACTTGCCATCTGCTAGGCTTTAGTCTCATAAATCTTTGTCATTCCTGTGCGGACCGCAGTAAAACCGCAGGGCAGGGCTGCCGTCGGTTCCCTTACTGAGTGTTTCCCGCAGGCAGCGCTCCACGCCGGGGTGCAGGTCCTCACACCCCGGCACTGAACCTGCACCTGGGTGTGAGATGCTGCGCAGGACCTGAGCAGGCTCCTGGGAGCCCCGTGCAGGCTCTGAAGACCAATATTGGCTCTAAAAGACCCTAGGAGAAATTTCTTATGCGTACTTTTAGACCCTGAAGTTAGGGAGATGGAATCTGCTAGAGACCACCCCTTGATATCACCTCCCTCCATTAACTCACTCCAGTGAGTTCCAGTGACAGGAACTGGGCATCAGGGATTTTCGCCATAAATTCATTAAGCAGTGACAACCGGTATAAAAATTAGATATAGAAAACTTAGAGGGATGGAATCCTGCTTCAGTAATAAACCACCTAATCCAGGAGTGAAAAGGACTTAGGTGAGTTACTTTTCCATTTTTAGCCCAACATGTTATTTGCTTTATTTCATTTTTTCACTATGTGACTGCATTTTCAGTTTAGCACTTTCCCCAGTGATTTACTGGATCTACAAAATAAAGCCGGATCCGTTCTGTTAAAAATGCAACGCTTTTAAGGTATTTCCCCGTGCATTCTTCCCCTCTTCTTAAGAAGCAAATTTGGGTTACAGTGACCTTAGCCATTCATTTTGTTGGGACAATACAAATGTGGGGCTTTTTCTATATACCGTGTTCAGAAAGCTTTTGCTGACTCATAATTTGTGGGAAAGACTAAGGCAAAAGAGGAGAGAGTATTTTGATGGGTTTTGGTTAGCCCTGAGAGTGGAATTGACGTCAACTCACTCGCAGTAAAATATGGCCTTTCATTTTCACAGCGAGTCCTGATCTGCAGGGATACCTGAGCAGAATAACACAGAGCAGGCTACATAATCTCATCTCCCCAAATAACATCTCACTTCAGAAAAAGAAGAGCTGAAATTCCTGATGGAGGAAGTCCAGGAATTGTGGATAGCATGATGCCTGTATTTTCCTTGCTGAGTTTTTTATCGAAACAGCAGACATTTAGATGAGAAAATGGTGTTACATTTGCAGTATCTGGGCCTACAAACTCCTCCTGTTGTCAGACGATGGCACTTTTACCTTGGTCGTGAAATGATCTGTGGAAGACAAAAATTGCTGGAGCCCCCATTGCCAGTCGCTGGGCAGTGCATCGCCGTGACCCCCACGCAGCCCCGATGGGGAGCCGACTAGGGGGACAACCACGTACTGTGTCTGATCTTGTATTTCCAAAAGCCAACGGGCAACTTTGCCTGCATGGAGACTGCAGAACTGCAATAGAAATTGCCATTACCACTGGTGAGCACGAATCTCTCCTTGTCCTTGCGGGCCCGTGCGCTCAATGGGTTTTTACCTTCTCGCGTCAATGGTGCAGTCTGTGAGGGGAGAAAGCACACACCGAGTTAGGTGCAAGGATCAGGCCCAATTTTGGTAATGATATACTACATGTAGCCTTTACCGAAAATGGAAATGATATTTCCTGCTTTACCACGGTTAAAAATGCTTTGCCTTATTCCTTAGTAGATAAAATAATGTCAGTCTTGGTCTAAAGAGCTCCTAGCCTACTCCCACTAAAACCAGTGATGCTCTATTGCACATCAGCCAGGATAATGACAGTGTCTCATTATAAAAAATTACCATTTTGAGGCAGGAAGTCCTCGGCCTCAGATCCAATTTTCCTTAGAAACTAATGGTTTATTACCAACCTTGAAAATCTTACGGGACTTGCAGTGCCTCGAAAGGCCAGATCCTGGCAATTTGGCTTGCGTGAAGTACCTCTCTCTGTGATTAGCTCTCTCATTTCAGCAGAAGCAATTACAGAAAGAAGAGCACAGCTCTGGTGAAGAAGGCCTGGTCGAAAGCCGGGCCGAAAGCCCCCCCCACCACCTGATTTTGTGTGGGGCTTCTGCCGAAATCAGCGGTGTAATGGTGGAAACGAGACCGACTCTGCAGGCTGCTTTGTATGAGTCACTGTATATTAAAAAGCCAGCTGGATTGAAAATCACAGGTCAAACAAAACCTCTTTATTTAGCTAAGCAAACAAAAGGACAAAACACTTTTAAACCTGAAAAGTGAGTCTGTACATATTTTTATCAATGTAATGATCCACAGGTACTAAGTAACACCCGGTGAAGCACTAGAAGCTCTAATCTCCATTCTGCCGCTCTCATTTTAAAAGGATACATTTTTTTAATGAGGTAAAAATAATTTCTGATGGCGCAGCTGCTCCTAAGATCTTCAGCTAGCTTTTGTGGTAGTCATTTAAAAATAAAAAAAGACAAGGGGGAAAACAAAAAAAAAAAAATGTGTTTTCTCCTTGCTGCTTCATGACGGAGACATGCGACTCGGAGGGCAAAGTGCGATTCAGCTCTGAACGGAGGGTGAGCACGTCTGAAGCGCACATAATCCCTGCTGGGTTTCCTTCTTTGGGGGACACTCTGAGCTGTGAGGTGTCTCCCCATTGCCTGGCCCTCATCAAGTGAACTCCCCCCTGGGACCAGCTGCAGCTGAAAGCTCACGGAGCAGCTCCTGAGCTTCTGCACTTTGCTCAGGAGGGCCACACGAAACTCCCCTGGGTGGAAAACTGCCATGTCTTTCACTGCCCTCTCAATGTTTAAACTCTTTCCTCTGGATACAGAAAGGTCTCCCAGGGAAAACATCCCCCCAGGGGCAGTTTCATTTATCAAGGGCAGTCAATTGGCATGGAAATAATCCATCTGCTGCCGAGGCGCCTGGAGAACCGTAAGCGCCGACTCAGCACTGACAGTAGATGTGGCAACCGGTTCAGTGGA